TTTTTTTTTTTTTTTTGTTAACGACGGAATTCGTATATCAATGCTGGGAATTACTGAGCTATGTGTTCTCTAAAGTTTAGTACAGACGCGGTATTAATTATTATACTATTTTAATATATATTTGCTTGAGATGGTGGCATTCATCCCAACGTGAACATAACGCTTTTACTTGTTTGCTTATTAAAACAAAAAAAAGAAACAATGCTATTATAAGCAGTAGATAAAAAAGACTTAAATTTCTCATTTTAGCATTATTTGCCCTGATGAGCCGTACGAGAAGAAAATGCCGAATCTCTGGGCTATTATGAGTAAGGTGCGTGTTGAAGCCTTCCTTTGGGGAGCTGGTACCGCTTTAGGTGAACTGCCACCATATTTTATGGCCAAAGCCGCACGACTTTCCGGTTACGATCCTGATGATACTGAAGAATTGGCCGAATTTGAAGCACTAAAAGCCAAAAAGAACGATAAGGATTTGAGTTTAATGGATAAGGGTAAATTGTTTATGGAACGTGTAGTCGAACGTATAGGTTTCTTCGGCATTTTAGCCTGTGCTAGTGTAAGTTTTTAGAACATTTTTAAAATTTGCACAAAGAAAAAAAAAAAAAAAAACGCAAAAAATTCTTTTTCAGATACCAAATCCTTTATTCGATTTGGCGGGCATTACTTGCGGTCACTTTCTGGTGCCATTTTGGACATTCTTTGGAGCTACTTTGATAGGCAAAGCCATTATAAAAATGCACATACAAAAGATGTTCGTTATTATAGCCTTTAATGAGACTTTAATTGAAAAAGCTGTCGATATGTTGGCTTTATTACCGTTAGTGGGCAAAAAGCTGCAGGAACCGTTTAAGGGCTTTCTAAAAAATCAAAAACAACGTTTACATCGGCAGCGTAATGTAACCCCAGCTGAGGCGGGCAATTTACTCTCACGTATCTTTGAGACATTCGTAATTGGCATGGTGTGCTATTTCGTGGTTTCTATTATTAATTCGCTGGCCCAAAGCTATCACAAACGTTTGCATAAAAAACCCGTTAGCGGAAATGCAGCGAAGAAACATAAGAAATTAGTCGCCCGCGATTAATAACTAAAAAAAAAAAAAAGAGTGCTCGCACTAAAAGAGTGAAATATGTGTATAACTTCTACGTTTTTTAAAATTTTTTTTGTATATCTCTTTTGCATCTGTACTTTTCTTCTTCTTTTTCATTTTATTTTTTATTTTCTTTTTTAACAACATCCTTTATTTGTGGGAATTTAGTAAATTTAGTAAAATATTTTTATTTAAGTCTGTTTACACAATTATCTGTCAATTGATTTAAAAACCTAGTCTTAAAAAAATTCTTTAGAAAAAAATGTGCACTTTAGAGAAAAGAAAGAAGACCTGGAGTTATGTCATAATTAATAGAAAAGGGAAAACAAAACAAAAGTTGATTGATTCCATTTCGTTAAGAAGTTATAAAAAAAAAATAAAATTATTTACACCGCCCACTTTCCATTCCCCTCCCACTTACACGTCCTCTTTGATCTCATATTTATTGTACTCAATGGTGTTCGCGCCTAAAAGAACATTTCCAAGAAAGTTAAATTAATTCCAATATTTGTGTCTTGAAAACTTGAATGGACGGACGGACGCAATTCAGTCGCATATGCAAAAATTACGTGTACTTGATTTTTGCTCATAATTATGAAAAAACTCATTTTCGTTCTTTTCTTTTAAGTGAACGATATGGAAAATTTATTTTGGATTTTTTTTTTTGATTTTCATTTGAATTCTTTCTCAACTTTTCAACTGTATTCGTAATATGATTAAATATTCTCCAGGGACTGTATAGGAATTCAATGAATATTGCTTTCTCAAAAAATCTCCGAAGTCGTTTAAAGTCATTATTAACATTAGTAAGTCGAACGAAGAACGGATCGTCTGGAAAAATATATACCCGGGAGACGTTGTTGTTTCCTTTCCGCTAATGTATTTGCTTCATACTTCCATGATCAGAATGTAGCTAAACTTTGCATATAGCATTCAAATAATGGATGATAGAAAAGGTCTCCGCAATTTTTTGTCACTAGCTGGCGTTGATGCTTAATATACCGGGTCACCCTCAACTTATTGTCGCAAACGGGAAGGTAAAAGTAATATTGATAGTAAAAAGTTATATTGATTTGAAAATGAATGAAATATCTGTAGGAATACGCTAAGTGATGTTTTTTTATTATAACAAAAAAAAAAGTAAATGGGAAGAACCTGGCAAAATATTTGTAAAGTGTACGATGAGAATGCTGAAAGTGAACGAAGGACCTAAGAGTAGTTCTCTCGATTCCGTTCCGGAAAGGTGCGTCTCCCTCTGATCGATCAGTCACTGAAAAAGTCGATGAAATTTTGTAACTTGTTGAGCAGGATCGGCATTCAAGCTATCAAGATATAGCGGAGTCGCTAAAGATTAACCACATTCAATGATGGAATCATTCGAAAAGAGCAAGCTACAAAAAGAAGTTCAAAGAAAGATCAAAAAACCCCCCCATTGAGTCAAATTGAATTTCAAATTGTTGTCCTCTTTGTAATGTAGATGCAGAAGAAACAGAAACTGTTCTTATACAAAAACAAAGAATCGTACAAGTCTTGAAATTATAATTTAGTTTTGTAAGATTGCCTCATGTGTTGAAAAAAATCTGTAAAGTTTCAAGTGAAAAAAGTTAAAGCTCAGTAGTTTCAATATTTCTGGATTGTGATGACTTCTTTTATCAGCCTTCATGCGTAAATATCTCTGTGAATTTATTTTTATTTCGAAAATTGTCGTTTTCGAAAACATAATATTGTGGGCTTAGACTGTGCAACACTTTTCTCCGCGTTTCAGTTCACGTCGGCGTCGTACTCAATATTTTTCCAAAGTCTTTTGAAGCAATCAATCTGGTAATCTGAAATTGAATTTTATATAAAAGATACTACCGAAGCTGTCGTACGTAAAAAAAACAATGAGATAAACGAAAAACTTCTCGTCACCAGAGCAATGGCGACAAGATTCAGACGAAATTGTCTAAAAAGTGAGTCATTCACATATGATCCAAATACGAGATAGTGAACAGAAAAGGAAATCATCGCCAAAGTGATCAATCATCGGTCCACGAAGATAAGCGCAAAAACAAGTATCGAAATCATTCTTTCTTGTAGGCGTTGGCTTCGTCTTTCCAATAATTTTTTTTGTGTAGATAATTCATTTGATAGCCGTGACAGGAAATATAAATCATTTGGCTTGGAATATAAATTGCTTTCTTCCCCTATTAAAGAGAATAAAAGATAATCTTACCCTATTAGAGTATTAGAGAGAGAGCGACTAGTTTTCCTCAATATCATGACTCATACTCAATAAAGCCGTGTAAAGTAATAATCGTTAGATCGTTAGCCCTTCATCTTAGTGATTGTTGATTGTGTGTACGCAAAAAAAAGAAAAGAATGTAATGAGAGAATGTAAGAGCCAGTAGAATAAAGTGTAATGAACTGTTACGGTTAGGCGTGACAAGCACGGCTTGACTTTTTTGTAAAACCGATGGTAAGGCGATGATCACCTCAGACAAAAGCTTATTCAGTTTTTCATCATTGTGAATCGCCAATTGCAGGTGACGTGGAATTATGCCGATCGTTTTTTTTTTCGTCTTCAATCGCATTCCAAATTGTTTCGACTATTAAAGAGTAGGGTATTTAGTTCACAATAGTTGCTAGAGCAGCCGACGAATCGTTCCAAACTCCTTCAGCACTTTACTTTAGATAATGGTAATGTTGGCGAACGCGCGATTGGCGACAAATGGTAAAAAAATTGTATTCACTTAGCGTAGGAGAAAGACTTCTCGACATTGTAAATCGATATTTATGAATATTTTATCGTGCTCTACTGTCGGTTCATTTCGTATGGAGTGAATTTCTCTCTCTTAAATGTATCGTCATCGAAGCCCCTTCGTTTTGAACTTTATTTCTATGTAGATTAAGATTAAAAATAATAATAAAATTAAATGTTAAAATTAATTGATATCAATAAAACTAAAATTTTATAATCTTAAAAAAAAAAAAAAGGAAACGAAAATATTTAGGCTATGAACCGACTAATTGGCGGACATGATCATAGCGACTTATACTTTCGTGTCTATCAACAGTATTCTTATTCTACAGTGACTATTGCGTATATATTTTAGATGGCATTGCGGGAGAGAGTCGATCTGAACTTACTCCGACAGTCAAGCCACCTTAATGTCCCTAAAGGGGTGAATGATAATATCTAGGCTTTTGCTGGGGTGACTGAACGAGCTAGGTAGGCGCAATGATGTGCACCTAATATGGGTGCCTGGCAAGGAAAGGGCTGACTGTCTAGCCAAAAGGGGAGCCCGAAGAATCATGTTAAGTCCTGAATCTTTCAATGTCGTACCAATAAGCTCTATATTAGCAGGCTGGCATCGTAATTGGCATAGAAGAAATCGGATTGTTATTGGCAGCAATGTACAGGACAACGGTAAGCAGTAAGATTCATAAAATTTTACGGCGCGGCATATAAACTACAAGAACTAACAAGAAGCGATCTACGTTTAGTCACGGGTTTCTACACGAGTCATAATTCCCTTGGGTACCATCTGGAAAATATGGGCATGTCCGATACCGATTCATGCAGATTCTGCCAAGGTGTAAGGGAGATGTCCCATCATATTCTAGATGAATCTGAGGCTATCTGCAGAATCAGATAACATGTGTTTGCCGGGAATTTTACCACGCCGGATGCATTATGGAAGGTGGCGAAATTTATAAAAATCTTAAAACATGAGGATTAGTGGCATGGGCAAGTACAACAGATCTTCTATTAATAATAATAACATCTATATGTTAACATTTTGAAAAAGGAGTGAAAACATTTTCATATTCCCAAGCTTGGCTTGCGATCAAAAAAAATAGTGTTTTTTCGTCCCTTAAAGAAGAAAATATTTGCAAGTGATTGATTAACTTCGGAATGAGTTATTTGTGTTAATTGTACGCAGTTAAATTTTAAGGGAACTATCGGCCGTTCATATCCGAAAGTCATTCGGTATTGAAAATCCAATTAAAGCTGATGTGGGGTAGGGTCCTTAGGTATGAATAGACTTAAAGTGATTGTATATGCTTAGAACTCAATTAGACTCAAGGTTTTCGGGGAGTTTTGATAGATTGAAAGATAGCCGACTTTAGTTGCTTTATTAGTTGGACATGGATTCGTTGGAGCTATGAAACGAGTGAAATTGATACATGCAATGAAATAGAGTTTCCAGTTAATTCAAGCACGCAATATAAGGAAGTAAAAGGGTCTAAGAACGAATCTTTTTTATCGACCATCTCGAACATTGTTTATATATCTGACGATATTGCAGAAGTCGAATCAATATTTTAGATAACTTTCAAGCATGTAAATGACTTCGGAGATAAGTAAAGAAAAAGACACCTACTTAATACTTACCTATCTCTATTTATGCTTAGACTTGTACTACAATCTGTCAAAATAATGAAAGTAGAACCATTAAGCCGGAGAGAGAGATAGAGAGAGAGAGAGAGAGAGAGAGAGAGAGAGAGAGAGTTGCAACGTACGAAAATTGTACTAAATTGTCGACTAAGCCGAATAAAGCATCGACTAGGATAACTGAACTATTCCATCTAATTGGATGAAATTACTTTATTCTCATTTTATTAATTAGTTAAATAAAATTATTAGAATCGATTTATGAATAGAAAAGTTTTTTTGTTTACGTATCAAAGTCTTGGATTCTTTCTCACATTTTTTATTATGATTTGTAACAAGTATGAATATGTATGAATTTTACATATATAGACAGATTTAGTATACAAAAAGAATATGTGTGCAAGATATTAGCTTTTAATATAATTTTATATATTTAAAAAAAAATTGTTTTTTTTTTTTGTTTTTTTTAAATGCTTGTAATTAAGTCAAGTTTTGACTGACATAAAGAATCAGTTATTATTTTTTTTTTTTAAGCCTTTACTCTTACTAATATTAATGCAATGGATTATCGCCAGACAAGCAATGCCATTTCTCATGTACGTGATCTGGCAAACGTATACAATCCAGCCATTGTTGTAAACGTTCGCCTTTACTATTATGACCGATTACTAAACTGCCGAGGAAATCGTTACTTTTACCCAAATCCTTGTCCCATACAGTTAATATCAAACACTGTTTATTGAGATCGTGAGGAGACGCTTCAAACTGGAATTCTTCATTGTATATTGGATTCAATGTACGCCATTTAATACTGGTTTTATATTTTTTGTTGCGATGAAAATCTGGTTTTAGTTGCCTAAATTAAAGGGGCAACTTAAAACGAAGCCATGTTCTTCATCCCGAAATTATCAATAACTTACAATTTAATAAAGGGATCCGAACTACCATTACTATCCATAGGTATTAAATTTATACACTGCCTAACGCGTACCAGTAAAGCTCGTTTCTTAGTGTTGTAGCATAAAGAAATTAGCACCTTGCCGTGAGGCCACTCCTGAGACGATTCAGCGCAATTACTTAATTCATCTTCACCACATAGCGGCACTAAACTCCGATACTGTTTGGCATTGCTCATCTGAAATCTCTCTTATATATAAAATTGTTGCTAGTTTATCAAATGATTTATGCTATGAAACTTACAGATGATAAAGCAATTTTCGCTGCTCCCAGAAAATCATTACCATACTTATCCTCATCGTATATGGCAACGTAAAGCATTGCGTTGCTTAACTCTTCTGATTCGACTCCCACGAATTGTAGGGTTTCATTAAATGCGGGATTACAAGTCTTGTGAACGGTACGTGTCCGCTGCCATCGAATGAATTTTGGTTTACCTTCAGCCGTTATAATGTTTAACTTACAATAGGGATCTGCTAATCCACTTGAGTCCATCGCTAACAGATCACGTGCTCTAACCACTGTCGCATCTAAAGTATTATAGTCTTCGCGATATGTCATGGCTGCCTCTAACCAACCTAAGAGAGAATCACGACAATGTGAGCTTAATTGATTCGCCAAGATAGCGGAACTCGCAGACGAGCTATCACTCATGGTACAAGTGGACGTTACTGAACCACGTCTTTCTCCACAATTTGTAAAAATTTCCATTTTATTATCCTCTAATACCATTGAATTTGCATCGCACTCCTGTTGCCTTTGCGATTCCGTCTTAAAACTCATGCGATTATTAAAGAAAAACGTATTAGAGATCCTTTTTTCTACGTTCGTGGCTGAACCTGACTTCACATCAATAAAATTGCGTATAGGAACGAAGGAACGCAAACGATAGCTACCCTCACGTACACATTTACTTATAACATTATTTCCATCTATAGTAGACTCTTTCGTTTTTAAATCCAATTTCTCAGAATTTGTTTTTTTCATTTCTTCTATTTCGTCGTCTTCCTCTTCCGAACTGCTACTATCCCGCACATGTATAGTTAACTTTTTAATCTTCTCTTTATGCGCCGATGAATTTGAACCTTGTATTCTGCTTGGCGGCGGTAATAACAAGCCCTCGGTTACCGTTGCAGATACATTTCGTAAAGTCGTTGGACTAGTGGAAGATGGTATCTCATAATTAGGGATACCCTTGAAAAACCAAGCTCCTGTTTTTTTCCACATTTCTCTCGTTTCCGAGCATATACGACATAACCAAATTTCGCGATTTTTTTGCACGGTATGATAACGAATATTAATATCCAAACAACACTTTGGACAGGCCACCTTTCTACAGTCTTCACACAAGATACGTTGAGGCCTAATCAAACCATAAGCTTCACCGCATAAACGGCACTTATTCGGTCCTCGTTCCACGGCATTTAATTTTTGCTTAATTTTCTCCACACGCTCTACTAGGCGACCGACACGTTGCCTCTCGGCACTTTCAATCTCCTCGTTACGTTGTATTACCGATATTATCGCAGCCTGCTCCTCAGGCTTAAGTGGCTCCTGGGGTGTTGTACTATTCCAACCCGTTCGCAATCTAAAATAATTTCAAAATAAATATTCTCTTAGTATTATGTATAAATATTTTGAAATTAAATTGAAAACATTTTCTCTAATTAAAATTTAGAGATCCTATCTAAGATCCTAGAGAGATTTGATAAAGAAAATCGAAAAGTCCAAATCAAGTAAACTCGAGATGGATGCACATTCACTGACGCAACTCACTAAATTGCAAAAACGTCCGACATCGTCTATTGTTTTTCATATTCTATGAGCGATGCTGTAGCATCTGCACTAAAACGGAAGAAATTGACCACGCCTACCCAATAGTATAGTATATTAAAATTTAGTTTTTTTTTTTTTTTAAATACCCTTACAACGTGTAGAAGCAAGCTTTAAAAAGTCCCTTAAGTATATAAATTTTCGACCAGTTACAGATTCACTTCAACATATCCGTCTATTTGTCCGTCCACCTTTCCATCTACCCAACTATATAGTATCTGTGATAAACAATTTTCCATTCGCGAAAACAAAAATATCGCCTAAAAAACTTGTCAAAGAGTTTGAAAATGGGCGAAACAGATCAAAGAACACACCTACCACGCTCGCACTCGTCTATATGATGAAAACGAAAAACACCTTTCGCTCGTTACTCATAAACTATACCAGCTACATGATATAAATTTCCACAAAATTATTCGACAGAAAGAGAAAAAATCAGCCACGCCCAGTGAATATTATGGAATATATAAATTTATACTTATACGCTTTCTTTTTTCAATCTTTTTAATAAAATAACAGTGACGGGTATAAAAAAAATGCAGTCGCTTTAATGTTGACAGTCCTTTCTTTACTCATAAACATACCGCAAATAGGGCACAGAAATAGGGATACAAGTAAAATTATAAAATTGTATATAATATATATGACAATATATAATATTAATCTTTATTAAAGTTAATTATAAAATATATATAAAAGTGTTATTATTATTATCAAAAAATAAAAAGAAAAACAAAAATTGAACACTAGCAACGTACCCTTAATAAAATAAAACATTAAATTGAGATGTTGCCTTTGGTCGTGTGTTGCAATTGCAATGTGACTGCTGTGATAAAGGAAAAATTGTTAAGTTAATTGTTAAGGATGATGCTTATCAACAATTACAGATTGGAGAAGAAGACTTGGAAGACACAACTGGATGGTCAAGGCGAATTCTCGCAAATGCTTTCATCTTGGTTTTGATAGCTCTCTGTTGATTAACAGCTAAACGATGCTGACGATAGTATTGTAGATTTACTCTTCCATAATTTTCTCTTTATCTCTTCTTCCAATTTGTTCATAATATCGTCTATAATCGAAATATTTATTTATTTATTGATGCTTATGTAACCTCAAAGCCATTAAGGACCATTATAATAGATTATAATGTCTACCGTAGGTGCACTAATAATGTAAAATAATATAAAATGTTCTTCAACAATCTAAAGGAGAAGAAAGGAAAATTAAAGATAAAGAGAACAAATAATGAAAATAGAAAGCAAAAAAAAAAAAAATAGAATGAAAAATAAAAAAAAAATAGGAACCAAGAAAGTTACTAGACTAGTATGAAAGGAACTAACACATACCATAACCACACCTCCAACCCAATACTAACTAACTAGCTAATCTCATTATTATCGCCGAAGGTTAAAATTCTTCGTTTGTAAGTGAGATAAGAATATCGAAGCTGTCGCAACCCCCTAGGCAGCGAGTTAAGCAGGGAGCTTATAAGGTTTTATAATCCTTACCTCAAGGGATTTGACCGAAGACTGGAGATACTGTAGATACAAACGGATGGTTATTGCAAAGAGAGCTACTAAAAAAAAAAGAAGATTGTCAAGCTGTTATGACAGGAGTCGTAGTTAAAGGAAAGTCTAACTGTAGAACATAACCTAATATATGATCATACCTCTTGAAAAAGAATACACATCTGAATACACGTTTACATAATAATCTAAATTTCCTCAGGTTTGAAGTATTAGTGGAATTGTAAACATTTAGGGCATAGATTACACGTGGCATAATTAAAGCTTCGAATACTCTAATTTTGATTTTGAATTGAGTGGACGTGTAGGTATTCAAAGAATGAAACCTTCTAAGTAGGAAAGTGTACCCTGAGAGCGCAGGAAATTTATGTGTGCATCAAAGCGTAACTTGTCATCGATAATCACCCCCAGGCATTTCAAGTTATTTACAATTTCAAAATTAGGCACAATTTACCCTTAAAGCAAGATTCCGATGTACATTCGGGGGTCGACACATTGTCGCAAATGTTTTAGCCCAATTCACTTTAAGCTCATTTGCAGCCTCCCAACGGGAAATGCAGTCTAAATGGTAGTCAATGTTAGCTTGATATCCTTCCAAATTATTAACACACCCCGCAAATAAAATCTGTTAAATAGGTTAACTAGGTTAAATATATAAAGAGGTCATTCATGGAGAAGGGGGCAAGGCAAATGATTGAGCCTTGAGGCATATCACTTTGACTTGACGGCGCCCAGACAGATACAATTTGTGAACGATCCAAAAGGTAGGATTCTATCAGAGCATCAGCTGATTTCGAAAAGTCAAAGGCCAGCACGAGTTTATAAATCAAAGGAACATGGAATACTCTAACGAAGGCTTTAGTTAAATTCAGCGGCAACCGAGACATGCTTATCACTTTCTAAGAACATGTTTAGCTTTATTCCTTTTTACGCCGAGAAAGATGAAATTTGATTTCGCAAAGCAAGAGTCATAATTGAGAGCAACCTCGTGTCTAAGTTTGAATATAATCTCATGAATTAGATCCAAGTTACTATTGAAAATATTGATCTGACCCATTATAGTCACTTGCGGCAATTCTGGATCTCAGTGCCCGAATATACACTCTGTTATAATTGTAAAGTACCGAAAATGTATCCACCTTACGCAAGCAAATAATAAAAGCCACGTAAATGAAGGTGTGGTGAGATATAGCAATTGGAATTGATCGGAAGCTGATAGCTTCGCATTAGCTATTTAAAAAGTAGTCAAGATGGGAAGTGGGTATCGCACCTTACATCATGATGGGTAAAGAGTATACAAATTAAATTTCAATGAACATATATACATCGATTTGATAGTACACCTAATTCTCTTTTTACACGAATTTTATTTAGACAAAATTTGATTTAACACGAGATAAAAAGAAAAAATAATACTCTTCTCACAGGAACTTCTTTGGTTGAACACGTTGTTTAGTATTCTATTTTTATGAAATTTTTTACTGAATTTTTCTAATGAAATTTTTTTTTTATTATTCTTTTCTATGAATTTTCTCATTCTCACTACTCACAGACGTGCATTGTAACTTGGTGTTATATTTTTTACACAATTCAGTTAGATTATGTGGATTGTATGCGTTTATGCAGGAGATTCCTCGAATTAGGCTCAGACTAAAGGCGTAATGTTTTTTTTTTTTTTTTTTTTTTTTTTTTTTGTGCAATTTAGTTTGGTTTTTCGAAGTATAATTAATTTTTGATAATATATTTAATGAATTGAAATGTGTAACCACGAAATAAATTCTTAAGTGAACTCTGACTCTGAATTTTTTAATATTGTTGATTGTACCTTTCAGCTGCTTGTTTAGGTATGGAACCAATCTACCAAATTTTCCATTTAGCTAATAGCTTTATTTACACGAATTTTTTTATATGAAACTTTTGAGAACGTATCTATCGTGTAAAAAGAGAATTAAGTGTATACATTTTTTCATGCCGTCCTATTGTGCACTAATTCGGGACAAGAAACAAATAAAGTACAGTTATGTTTCCGAAGAAGTTATCATTAAAAAGACGCTTTTATCGCGTGATTGGAAAAACTGTAGTTTTTCGCTCGCTTTTAGTTGGAAACACTAAAGGCATCCTTAAGCCTCAGAGGCCATATTAGGCAGAGTTGATATTTTGTCCCTTTTATCAGAAAACCCAATGCTAAGCTATTAACTGCCATCTTCTATTATTAACTTGTTCCATTTACTAATTCTTATATATATATATGTATGTACATACAAGGCTACAACAAGGCTACAACTACGTTAGGTTGGAGACGTTCCGTCATGTGTGTTATGAAGATTAATTAAAATTTCTTTAACAATACGTGTACTTAGAATTCATTTTAATGATGTTTATAAAACTCTTCCGTAGCATATACTGGGATAAAAGATTGCGTCGTATAAAATTCAAGTTCAAGCAATGTAATTAATTTGCTATAGCATTCTAGCTCTTATAACAAAGCAATAAAGAAAAGAAGCAAAAAAAAACAAAAAAAAAAAGAATAAACAATTGAAACTAATATATTTATGCAGTTTATATCGACTTGCTCATTCACCCACCACTTGCTTAGTTTATATAGTGAAATTAAAAACTTGAAGAAAGATTTGCATCATTTTTATATCCTACCTACACCACTTGTGTTGTGTGTGGTATGTAACACGCAGAAATGTTTAAAAGCGACCCATCTTTTATTCATATTCTGAACTGATCTAAGCCTGTCTGTCCGTTTGTCCGCCTGATGTCTACCCATGTAAATTTCCGTTTAAGCTACACGATAAAATTTAGTGCAGTGACCAGTGTTTTAATCCAAGAATGAAAATGCTTCGGTTCAGTTCACTTTTCCCAACCACTCCTCATATAACGGCCTATCTTTCTGTTATAAATGCTAACGCTCTGGAAAAGCTTACTAATATTGATATTCATAGTACGCCTAGATTGCAATCTCATCTTAATCATTCAACTATTATTATAAGGTTTTTCACTTTCTCATTCGTCTCGTTGGCTATGTGAGCGTTATATACACCTGTGTTTTTCATTTTTAGAAAAAAAGTTTTTTAAACAAACAACAAGAAAAAAGAAGTAAGTGAAAGACTGTATATATAACATTTTGACAATTCAAACAATGTCGAAACGTACCCGATTATACAATAAAAACGTTGGTATAATAGAGTGTAGAAGAAATTGGTTTGTTTATATACCTGTG